AGCAATCAATATTTGACTTTACAATATTATACATAAGCGTGAACAAGACATCCAAAACATTCCACTGTTGTTCTAAGGCCGGTACTAACAACCGACCCTATATATGAGCGTACGTCAACTGTCAGAAGGCCTCCGCGGCAGTGCACTGCCGCTGTTCCCAAGAAGGGCCTCAACTCCTGGTTAGCCCAACTCTCCACTAACAACCGATCCGCTATTTAGCAATCCGAACGGCAATCTAATAAAAACAATTCCCGTTTACCTGTTTCTGAAGTTGCACCTAGTAAATCACAGGGATAGACGGACAGATGCGATGAGGATGACAAAGGTGGAGAATAGGAAGCGGAAGTGCACCTGCCGTAGCCTGCTACGTCCGACCATATCGACGACACTGATACACCATTGATACACTGATACATTACATCGGAATTAAAATCGATTTCACCCTGAGAGTCGAACGGCAGATCCGATATCTGTCGACCTTTATGAAGGTTTTGGTTTGGTTACGTCATGTATCAACTGTACATGTATATTAGTTAAGGTATGTATGGACCATACTTCATTCTTCTACTTCTTTTCGTATAGATGACATACATTTTACTATAGTGGCTCAGAACTGAGCCACGCTGACCGCGTCTCTAGCAGCCGCCATTAAATCCTTAAGCGTGCAGGTGTTAGGGCACGCAGGGCTCGTGCCTTATGATGTGGGCCATTGTTTGAGTCGCACTCCACATGCAGTCCACGTTAGAACCATCCGAAAATACCCACCTTAAAAAAATTGTCCTTGATCCGACCAACGTGAGCTCGAAGCCAATTCAAAGACGCCTAGATCGGCCATGGCAGTTTGTGTCTAAGAGGAAGACTCTCTGAATGCGGGACAAACGTAAATGGTACTCTTTCGCGCCAAAGGTTGCACCTCGCCTGAGCCGGCTCAATGCTCAGAGGATCACATTCCACAAAACTTTTCCGGTTCCTCAGTCTCTGTTGCACTGTGAAGTGGTCGTGCATAGTAGCCGAGTGTAGATGGCCATTTTTGCTCTTTCGCAAGAAGCCGCAACATTTCTGCGGATGTCAGGCGGACCTATGCCAGGTAGTGGGTACAGTAATCTTACCGGGGTCAGCTTAAGACAGCCAGTTATGATCCGGAAAGTCTCATTTAAATAATTCATTGATTTATGATCAGTGATCGGATTTGAGGGTGTTAACTTACTTAAAGTATGAACGTTTTCTTAGTATGGACATACCCATTAAGTCATATGATCAAAAAAAAATCCCGAAATTCATGTCCAATGTCAAACCGTATAAAATTTCTTTTTTTTCTGTTTATTTTCTTAACATTCCAAAATATGGGTAGTCTAATGTTTATTATTTAAATGGGTCAAGTATTAAAATTCAGTACTTCTATTTTTTCAATGTGCCTTGGAAATGATCGAATGTCGGAAAGCACACGTATATTAATTTCCATGCCCATTAATTATTAGATTATAAATCATAACAATTCGAATTTTGTACAACGTACTTTATTGTTGTTTTGTTTTGATATCTGTATGAACTATATAGAGCTGTAAAGTTACTTCCCTATTTTTAATGACATTTACTCTATATCAATAAGCAAGTTAACAAGAACATAAAGTAAATAAAGTGTGTTTCTTTTATATAACTAAAAATGAATTATTTTCCAGATATTAACCATTTCAATTCAGTTCGTATCTGAACGCTTTTTTTTTCTTTTTCGTGAATTTTCGTCAATTTCTTCATTTGACAAGCAACTCTATATACTTTCAAGTCGTCTGAAAGCGCCCGGTCTATATCAAAGGCAAAGGTAAACTGAACACAAAGTTTGTCGAGGGACATAGCGTAAATAAAAGCACTGTACGTACATATAGCCCTTTCGGAACGGTTTAATACGATTGTGTGGGTCGTAAAATTGAATTTATCTCATCAATTTTACGTCTGTGTTTGACGGGCTCCATGCCACACGATTATATGAGAGCCAGGCCTTAAACTCCCGCGTAAATATCGCACCTACGTCATTCAGCCAACAGTTTCGGACACGTTCAGTTTGGTGCAAAATTGTGACTCCAGATTTGGCGATTGTAAGTACCATTTTCTACATATTTTTATGAGTGTAGCTAATTATTATTTGTTGATTCATTAGATATATAAACAGTAAGTGTTTTGAATACACGTACGCCGATAAATAAATAAAAAAGAGTGATTATTTGGTTTATTTTGTTGATGTCGATTTATTTTGTAAGAAGAAATGTTTTAGTTTTTTTCAATAAACTATTTTATTTTTATAAATAAAATGACTATTTTAAATAGACTACCTTGAATAGAAATTAGGAAAATGAATGGTTAGGCCCACACTAAATTGTATATGGGTAATGACTGGTCCAACCACATACAATCGTGACACTCACAATTGTACTTAGGAAATGAAGGGCTCAGAATAATACAATTGTTGGTATCTAGTTTTTCCAAGATGGCGTCGGAAAATTGGAAATGCGACGCCAGATTTAAAATCTGCGATCCTGAATTACTTATAGTACATATTCAGATGTAATAAATTCACTGTAGTTTTGGAGCCGGTCCGAAAGGGCTAGAGAACCACAACTACAACATTATTTTTAGAGACAATAATTTGTAGCAAATACTTAATTGAAAATAACATTAATTTGCCGCCAATGTATCCAAATTTCAATCAAGAATACGCATATTCAAATATGCGTATTCTTGATGATTTGTAGAAGGGCATATCCACGTTGTTCTTTAGTTTAGCGTAATTAACTCCATCAATTCTGATCACTGTTTATGACCCATTACAATACAAAATAAATGAATAAATAAACAAAAATAATATAAGTAAATATTTTGTATTTTTTTGATATAATATGATGATATATATTCTAGAAATAGCGTCCCTTGCAACACTTATGGATGTAAGTTATAATGTTGATAAAAAAGTAACTTATTTGGATAAAAATATTATTAATAAATGTTTCAATCAAAATCATAATCGTGATGCAGTGGAACAATATTGCGTAAGCAAAATATTCTTTTTTACTTGTACTTATGTAAACTTATGAATATAATCACAACACAATTTCGACTGCTGTTTTTATTACATAAATTTAGCACGTGATACTTCATATCAAAATAAACAAAGAGGAAAAATGGCTATTGCTACATTAAATAAATAAAATAAAATGTTTCTTTATTTAGGTATACGCAACTCATTAATCATTTCATTTTAATTTTATTAACATAAATTTATTATTACATTTATTCATTAAAATTATAATTTTGAATTTAATTTAAGGTACAACTAATAATTATAATTAATTTACATTTTAAAAAATTTGTGTTCGCTTAAAAAGTACGCAGCGCATACTGTCCTTACAATAATATTGGCCGAATCACTCACTCTCGTAAGAAAAGACCTCATCATCTACTCCATTCACGGCAAACATGAGAGACGCATTACACCTCCATGGAAGCCGCAGCATAGCACGAAACGTATTGTTTGTATTGTGTACAGGACTTCGACTCTATCAAAACATTGGAAATTAAAGTATTATTCTACATCGCATATACGTACATATTTTTTTAAACAAATCCCAGCTATTCACAGGTCCCATGGTCACAAAAAAAAACAGTTCCATATCCATTGAAAAGAAATTTATTAAAAAAGAAATCATTTGGAATACAAATTTCAGATTATAATTATGCATGCATTAAGTTCTTGTTATGATCAAAAGATGGCGGTGAATAAATTTCGAAAACCAACTAGCTATTTACTGAGGCCTTATAGTTTATATTTCAAGTTATATTTACTTAAGGAATGTTTTATTTGTAAAAATATTAGGAAAACTTATGTTCAGTGGGAATTTCCATGTTGTTGTCGTCACCATAAGTGTTCTGTAGGCTGGAAAATAGAATGAATGTAATTAACAAAATGTTCAATATATTGTATAGTACAACGTCAAATATTTTCCTCATTCGGGAAGACTTATGGGTTTTATTTACGTATAAAGATTTGTTACATAAGGTTAAGGCTTGTTGCATATTTAGCTAAACTATATTTAAGTCGGATTTTTGCTCGACATATTTCGAACCAGATTGAGGTCCTTTTTTAACCGATTCCAAAAAAAGGTTCTCAATTCGATTGTACTTTTTATTTTGATGATTCGTTGGTGTTGGAAAGAGGTTAGTTACCTCAGTATTGGTCCCATTTAAATTTGAAGAAAATATTCACCACTAC